CTGCCTCACCCGGGAAGAGCACAATGATAATACCAACATGGGCCAGTGAAGCAACGTCCTCCACAACTAGACTGAAGAACAAAAGGACAGCAACTTCTCTGTTCCCTTTCCCCCAATTCCCCAGCACTGTTCTCTCCCTCAATAAAAATCTTAAAAAAAAAAGATATTTGCAAATCATGTATCTGATATGGGATCTGTATCCGTATTATATAAGGAATTTTTAAAATTCAACAATAAAAAAGCAAAAGTCAAATTTTAAAATGGGCAAAGTACTTGAATAGACATTTTCCCCAAGATATACAAATGGCCAATAAGCACATGAAAAGATGCTCAACATCATTAGTTATTAAGGAAATGTAAATCGAAACCACAATGAGATACCACTACACACCCAGTAGAATGGCAACAATTAAAAAAAAAAAAACCCAGAAAATAACAAGTTGCTGAGAATGTGGAGAAACTGGAACCCTGTGCATAGCTGGTGGGAAGGTAAAATGATTCAGCTGCTGAGGAAAACCGTATAGCAGTTCCTCAAAAAGTCAAACATAGAATTACCACAGAACCCAGCAGTTCCACACCTACGTATATACACAGAAGAATTAGAAACAAGTACTTAAACAAACACATGTACAGGCATGCTGACAGCAGCACTACTGACAACAGCCAAAAGGGAGAGACAACACAAACGCCCATCATAGAAAGAATGGACAAAATGTGGTCTACACATACAATGGGCTATTATTCAGCCGTAACAGGCATTGGATACTGATACAGGTTACAGTGAACCTTGAAAACATTATGCTAAGTGAAAGAAGTCAGACATACGAGGTCACATATTTTATGATTCGATTTATGTGCAGTATCTGGAATAGGTAAATCCCGAGAAACAGAAAACAGATTGGTGGTTGCCAGGAGCTGGGAGAGGAGAGTAATGGGGAGTAACTACTTAATGGGTTTGGGGTTTCTTTTTAGGGTGATTAAAATGTTTTGGAACTAGAGAGAGGTGGCTGCACATCATCAATGTACAAAATGCCACTGAACTGTTCACTTTAAAATGGCTAATTTTCTGTTGTGTGACTTTCAACCTCAATTTAAAATAAAATTTAAAATAAAATTTCCCCTCCACCATTAGTTCTCTTCAAAACTGCAAACAAATGATATCTAATAAACTCCAAAAGAAGCTTCAACCTCAGCACAGCAAAATTCCCAGGAACTTTTCTTTTTATCTCTTCAACCCACTAAACTCATAATCCTGCATCAGGATTCTTCAGTTGAAGAGCTTAGTAACTGCTGGAATTTAACATAAGAACATTAAAGGAAAAACACATTAGCAACCCGATTAACAACTGGTTTTTCAGGCACTAAAACCTTAAGCATGTCACACTGTTGAGTGTCATAATCTTTAAAAAACAAACAAACATGATTGACTTAATTATAACAAGATAAGAATCCCAACACCATCATTTCGAATGAAAACTACAACAAACAAGAAAGAGAATGGCTATTCTAAACAAAGGTACCCATTCGGTTCATTCAGAGTGAAATCTGGACAAACCAGAGACTGTTTTGTAGGCCTCAGGCACATACAAAAATATCATTCATAAGGAAAATTATTCAGAACATTCTGGAAAGGAATATGACTTTACATGTCCTATTCATCAGGTGGTTTATATTTGCAATGCTGAAGATTCAGCTAGTTTTTCCCCATTTCTTCATGGATACACTTTAAAACTGGCCTTGAAACCAGCACAGAAACAATCAACTGTATTTACATGTTGGTGAAATGACTACTGTTTGAAAGCCCAATGTTTTGATGTCTATGTGCCAATCTATATACCAATCTAACAGGAGAATTAGAATGAACTTGCTATTCCTCACCTGAATTTTCTAAATACAACTAGTGGGACGTCAGTGAAGATTATACTTCTAAGGCAACTGGAATTACTGTCAAGTCAAGCTCTTTGCTTGGCTTCAAGTGAATATTCAAATAGACCCTTAAGTGTCTGCTTAATCAGGATTCTCAATGGGAAAAAAAAGTCAGAATGATGATTTGAATAATTATGATGAAGATTAGTCAGTTTCAAATGAGGAAAGAGATCAAACAAACTTAAAAATAGTAGCAAGAAGTTTAAAAAAATAACATCTGAAAGCAAGAGGAATTGAAGATAATGTAAGAATAATACCTTATAAGAGGAATTGTTAAATACTAGAGTGGATTATTGGGGAGATCTTCAGAAAGAGAAGACTCTTGCCTCTGTGGATGAATGTTAATCTACCCAGAAGACAAGGGTTTAGACTAAAGACCCCTTAAGACAGACCTTGAGCCGAGGATTTAGTAAAGAATGGTAGGAATCTTCCTTCATCCTTTGGTCTCCTGAGAACTGCTTAGAGTTTAAGACTAGTTAATAATTAAAGCCTCCTGCTTTACAAGAACAGTCATTTAACCCAGAATTACCCAGAGAATGTATGTGCAGCAGCGATGTAAATGAAATTTTCATAATAAAGCTGTCGGTTATCCTGGAAATCATTCATGTTGCAGCTGATCTCAGAGGAGCCTGCCCCTTTAACAGTCAGAGTGATAAAAGGCGGCAGAGTGGGCTCGTCCCAAGCATAATCCAATGAAGTCGTGGGCTTCACTTCAGTTCGGAGCCTGGGTTCAGCTACACCGTGCTGAGTGAAGACAACTGGGACCTACAGTAACAGCAGAGAGGGTAGAGAGGGCTCTCATTCAGATTGGTGTTACTGCAAAGTGATTGCACGCTTCCTAGATTAAGTTCCAAATCCTCCCCAAATGAATCCTAGACAGGGCATAACCACAAGTGAGGTTCATCATCTTTATCTCTTCAAATGCCTTTCTAATAATCATCTTTCAAATTGCAAGAAGCCCACCAATTAAAGGCCATGGGCTACTGCCTGTTGGATAAAGGGCTTTAAGATGCTTTGCCACCCCAAATACCAAGGGGAAGCAATTCTCTCCTTTCAATGGCATCTCTGCTACCCTCACCCACCGCATGATACACTTTGAACACAGAAAGGAATAAAAATTTTGGAATTTAGCTATGGAAAGTCATGTATTGTAAGACGTTGTTTTTCAAAGGCATAATTTAAAACAGAATCTAATGATTTCCATTTTTCTGTTTTACTTGCAAGATTTATACAAATGCTCATGTAACTAAGCCACCGCAGGACTGCCCATTCCCACTGTCACTCTGACTCCTCTTGTGTGGAATGGCTACAGAGGGCCCCATGTCAACCAAACGATCAAGCCAAAATAAGCACTGGGGGCTGACAAGTCACGTCTAGACAAGGCTGCCCAGCCATCAAAATACCCCGCAGAAATCCCCTTCTAAAGGTAAGGATTTTTAAGGTTGTCTAGCTACAGAGATCCCTGCATTTTAAACCCAAGTTTGAAATGTATTTCATCTTTGTCTTAAGGGCAGTCCATATGCCACCCTCAAGCACGCATATGAAACAGCCAAACTGGCTCTCAACTCCTCTTGATACCTTAGAAAAGTTGTCAATGCGGAATGGAGGGGGTAACTGATCTGTGTCACTAAAGGAGATCCTATAGGTGGCTCCGCGGAGTGTAATTTCCACACGCAGGAAGAAGCATTTCCCCAGGGTGTCTCTGCAGAAAAAGGAAACAAAAGAGGCCACATCAAATGGAGACAACAAGTTCCAGTTCACTTTCCTCTCATCCTTCTAAAAATCACGATCCTGCATGGACCGCAATCAATAAATACCATTGTGTTCTTTAAGAACATTAAAAAGTAGGGAGGTGACAGTATAATCACACAGTTAAAACCATTCATTTACGTTGTAACTGCACAACAAGATCTACAAATTTTCGTTCCAGGGTTTGTTTTGGCTAATGGTATCAGTGTAGCAAATGAGTAATTATTGGTTGAACTACATAAAACTGTTGATACTAGACTACTTTTGACCTAGAAAAAGAGCAATTGCATATGATTCAAACTGATACATTGATGTTATTGACAACAAGGGTTCTCACCGTAGGATGATGGAAGGTGAGGAAGAATCCTGTGGAATGGAGGTGCCAGTATGTAATCGTAATATATACGTATGTGC